ATATATATATATATAGAATTATCCTAGTAAACCCCACTCGTCATACAATGGAATTCTCTTTATCATTAATTTTTTATAACTCTCACTCTGTAAACCTGGATTTATAAAAGTACCCGTGCTCATGATATCATCCAAATCTTTTGATTTATTCTTATTACACAACATGAGCGGTAAAATCGTGAAGGCTACTATCATTCCATAGCTAACACTTCGCTTTAGGCTAGCTTTCAATTCTTCCATGGTAGGCGGCTGTGTCTTGCAACTCAGTTGTTTCATAGTCGCTGACAAGATGCCAAGATATTCGTTTAATAAAGTATTTCTCTCATTTTCCATGACATCCATGGAAAGACTTGTATTGAAAAAATAATGAAGATCGAGTGCTGGCGTCGTGTAGACGCACATTTGAAATTCTACATGTAATTATAATTAAATTTTCTTAATTAATCAATGTTTTGAGTTCTTTGCAAATAGATTGGAAATAAACTCTATTGTCGGAAGTAGAACGTTTAGAAATATTATGTTTAGGAAGTTGCGACAAATAATTAATAATTTGCGCGATTGATACGAAAAAACAGATGAATGCAATAGTAGAATGCGATTAAACAGATGGATTTATTATATCATTTATAGATTTATTATATTTATATATTTATATTTTCTCCTATTATTACCACCTTTGTTTTGATAACTAAATTGCAAATAATTGAAATACATTAATACCATAATAATATCTTTCGAAATATTATCTATTTGTTTTGTTTATTCTTACGGGAACTTTTATCATTGCATTCAACTATAATAAAAATTTAGAAATATAGATAATTAGAATGAATAAGTGATTGAACTATGTTATTATTGAACTATGTTATATCTAAATTATGTTCACAATGATTTATATTTTTATAAATTAAAGTAATATATTTTCAAGTAAATTCGTGTCAACAATAAATCATACCATATGCAAGTATAAATTAAAAATTTTACGAATTATTTTATTTAAGTTTAATTCTTATAAGACAAGATTAATATTTTTATTCATATAAAACAAGTGATGAATACGTATATATAGTTCTGTATAAAAACAGTTATTCCAATTGATAATCAATAGACAGCAGATTCGATCCGGACTGTCTTCTCACATATATCTCATTTTATAAGAAAAGATTAATCAAAGAAGCATTGATTAAAAGATGCACATTCTAAATGAATCCTGTAAGGACTTATATGAAACTTAAGGATCTAAAGAAGGTCCTTATTAAGCTATATATTAGGTTTAGAATTGTATATTAATTCAAAACTTAGGGACTTGAAAGAAGATACAAATTTTATTTTAAACCTAAGATCTGAAGAAGAAGATTGAATTATAAAGTAAGGTTGTAAACACATATACTGACACTATACAACGCTGGGCTGGAACCAATAATCTGAAATACAAAGGAACGTGGTACTTACAAAAATCTGATCAATAGGTTTACCATCATTATCGTATTTAAACAACATATTGTTCAGATGACAATCACCATGATTAATAACGTTCAAATCATCCTCAGAAATCTTGATTGCATTTTCTGCTATTTGATATACGTGATCGGAGAGTTTAGCAATTTTTTCCGCATATCTAACGATAAAAATCACATAAAATTAAAACATAAAATTGTGTAAAATTATGTAAAACTCACATAAGTATTACACTCCAAATGATGCAATTTATATTTATATTTGCTGCTTACAATTAACATGTTCAATTTGTTCGTATTAAAATTCTCATTATCTTGTGTCACATAAAACGTTATATTAGACATTAAATAAACAATAAAACAATAAATACTGCTGTTTAGGTATATTAATCTTACTTTTTCACTTCTGGCCAGTTTGCAATCTCATCTGCTAAAGCTTTAATAGCCATAACGAAAAAAACACGCAATTCTGGCGGGTGCTGATGGCAAAACATTCCTTTCGAATACTCTTTTTGTTTTGGTTCCTAAATATATTAAAATATTTTTAATAAAGAACATTGATGTTTATTCATTTGATTATAAATAATTAAATTTATTGTACGGATTATGTGAAAATTGAAATGTTGTATAAATGACTTGTACAGTAAAATTTACGACAATAATTTTACATACAATTTTTTGTCAAATTTAGAATAGATATTTAGAATAGAATAGATCTAGAATAGATTTAGATAGATTTCTCTTGAAAAAGTTATAAGGCAAGCTATTATTTATTATAATTTTTAATATTGAATATTGAATATTTTAATTTCAAATTAAGATTATGCAAATGCAAAGGACTTATTGATTACAATTAAATAAATATGTACGAATCCTTTTTTAAGCTAAAAGAGATACATATCTTTCTTTTTTAATTATTTTTATTTTGAAAGTATTTAACGTAAGCGTGATATTCCAGTCAAGGAAACGTCGATTATTTTTTGTATTAATTGTATTAAAAAATAATTTTATATATTTTTATGAATAAATTATAACGTTTTTCGTTAAGGATATGTTCTCAAATTGTTTTCTTAACTAAATATGTCTCAATAAAGACAATATAATACGTTTGTAATAAATATTAAAATGGAACTCGCATTTAATATGATATTAGAAATCATTACTATAGAATTATAAATAATTCTTTATACAATTATAAATTATATTAAATACATGATCTCCTAAAGCATTCTACAAGTTTTATTTAAAATTATCTCTTGATAAAATTTATAACAATTAAAATTATAATTATTTGCCACTTTAAATTAATGTTTCTTATATGAAACTTTCGAATATCTCCGTGATATCTACTTATCATATTTGTTAAAAATATGATAAATAGATATCACGGAGTGATATAACAAATATGATAAATAATATAACACAAAAAAATTTCGTGCAATGCGATATTCATGCGCAATCAAAGTAATATTTCATATATATCTTTTATATTTAATATTAAATTGTTTATATTAATGTAAAAGATTTATTCCTGAAATCGTTCTGACATTCATGCTATTGACTTAAATTCTTAACAATTGCAATATTATGACTGAATCATGCGTAATTTACCTTCTCACATATGGCGACAGAGGCTGCATGAAATCTGGCAAGTCCTTGTAACGCCAATATAGAATGTGCTAGGTCAAGGCCAGACAAACGGTCGGCCATTCGAAAACCAAGAAACATAAGATCTTCCATTACAAGAAGCGTTGGATTTTCGTTTTGCACATATAGACTTTTCCCGCTTAAACGGTACTTAGGCTCTAACAATTTATTCATTTTATACAAGGTATCTGATAGCATTGATATTTCGATGTGAAAAAAACCTGATAATACAATCTATAACAAGTTTAAAATTAATAAATGGAATCTTTTAATCTACGCATGTAATTATTTTTTTATATAAATTTAAGGTCTAAATAAAAATTTGTGTAGCTTCTTAATGTCAAATAAATAATAATTTTGTCTTACAAATTAAAATTAGTTTTAAAACAAGTGAAAAATATTTTCTTAAATACATGTATGTTCTCTCTCTTTATATGTATATATATATTCGAACTTAATTTATAAAAATAATTTTATTAATTTATAAAAATAATTTTTTCAACCATTAATTTTATTTTTAAGCACTAATTACTTAAACATAAATGATCTTAATCTTTTCATTAAATACATGATAAAAATCCGATATAATAAAATCGTCAATTCATGCATTATACATTTTGATCTCTCTCTCTCTCTCTCTCTTTCTCTCTCTCTCTCTCTCTCTCATCTCTGTGTGTAAAAATGTATATATTAAATCAACTTACGAATTTTTGTCGAATACTTTCAATTATAGGTAAGAGTTTGACAATAATTGATTTTTTCTCTTTAATCTCATTGCCGCCTTGATTACGTGAAAATTCAATCATAATTCTGAACATATCGCTAAGATAGTTGTCACCTTTCTTCGTGGCTGGTTTTGTAGACATATCGATCACCTGAATCGAATCGTCTCCTTCTGACTTTCGCAGGATTTTCTCCACGAAGCTTAAATTTAGCCATGTCATCTCTAGGGTCATCACTGAAATTAAAATTAGGTTGAAGAATTTCCTCAACAAATCGTTTCTTTCCCGCCACAAAATGCGAAAACGATTCTTTTGATAATTCATTTGCGGCAAGAATTATTCTCTCTCTGTTTTTTCAATCGGTTTTCTTTACTCATCCCGATCTTTTCATTGTTTTCCGCCATTTCCTCCCTTTGTTTTTTATCCACTGTATTATTGTTTCTTTCTTGTGTCATTCTGTATTCAAAACAAATGCATTTCCTTGTTTAAAGACACTATTTCAATTAAGAGCATAATAATATGAGAAATCGCTTCTTCTTTCTTCTTTTTGATTAATATATTTTGCATTGAAGTTCCGTGAATGTAATTGAGTTGCAATAATTGCAAAAAATTTGCGACATGTCTAGCAAACCGCAATCATCGTATTTATTTAGATTCCAATTAATTTTTTATTTCTTTTTAATAAACTTTGATTTTCTCTAGTTAAATAAATGTTTGTAATTTTAATTAATTTTTTATTGTTTAAACAAATATGTTATTATTATATGTGTATATATATGTTGTTATTATCTGTGTATAAATTATATTATGCTCATATTTAATTATTATGTTTATATATATATATA